TGACCTTTTGATGTCTTAAAATGTATAGTATAAATTTTCCTCTTTTGATGTTCTATTGATGATCTCTTAACTTTCTCTCTTTGTTTTGTGATTTGAAAATGATTCATGATCATTGGCTTATAAAGATGCAAATGTTGGGTTCTTGTGCTTAGTCAGTTTGGTGAAACTAAAGCTCGAAAGCTTAGAGGGAAAGTATATGTTTCTCTTTGTGGGTTGGAACCTAAGTGTAGGTTGGTATCTTTTTATGTTTTCTTTTACTCTTCTCACAATGTCTTGTTTTGCTGTTTCAAATTTGTAATTTCTATATGGTCCAAATTAAAAATTTAGTCCGATTATATATGTCTTTAAACTTATTCTGTGTGTATAGGAAAAGAATCCAAAATACCATTTTTATAGAAATATTATCATAAGCCAAAATAGCTATATATCTTTTTATATCAGATATAATAAAAATTCCTAATCTTATGATTAAAAATCCAATTCTATCATTTTAATCATATAAATCACATCCTAATAAAATTTGGAAAGGCATCTAAATACTTATGTAAAATTACGTGTAACTGTAAACATGTTATAATTAAAATCAATACTTTCTTCAAGTGATAATCACTATAGTAGTTTACAAGAATGACTGACATCTATTGATAACGTGTAACTATGAATATTTAAAAAATTCGGTTAACAAATGTAACTATGAATATCCAAAAGCCTTAAAATGTGAAAATTAAATGGTTGAGAATTACCTTTCAAGAAATCTGATTGGAGGATAGCATCTAACAGAAAATGATTATATTTGTTAGGAAGCAATAACCGAACTAATTTGTTGTTCAGAGTTAAAAGTAGTCAACCTATATTGGAGTGCGATGGTTTTTTTTTCTCTGTGGGTAGAAAAACTAATGGATTAATTGTTCTCTATCAATATATCATTTTCATTAGGAGCAGTAATCTAAATTTGTTTTTTCATTGAAATTTTAAATATCAGTGAAGTAGTTGTTAGTTAACGCCAAAATATGAAGGCATTTAACAATACTTAAGGCCCAAAAATTCATACCAAATAATCAAGACTACTGAATATACAAAAAAGTTTATTTACTTCAGATTTATTCCCTTCACTATGTTTGACCAAAATAGACAAGAATATTGGTCATATATTAATGATAATATTTGACCAAAAAACATTCATGATATTACAATAAGATCTGTGGATGATATCACATACATCGAAAGAAGTGAAAACATTTGCTAAAAGATCCCTGATGTTAGATTTATTTTGGTTTTAAGATGTTAATTTCTCTCAGCAAACATTACAACCTTTTATCATATACCATCAAGCAAGCGACTAAATAATGCATCTAAATAGCATCAAGCGTCAAAAACAATCTGAGAATAGATAACAGAAAATCATATCAATTTTTTTCATTTGTTTTTTGTTTTTTTTTTGAATTTAAACTAATATCTATTCCAACTTGTTACACATTTTTTTTTCCATATATATAGGTCACAGCTAATGCGTGTGCATTAAGATTTCAAACAAGTTTATTAGTTCTGTTAATCAGGATATTACCACCACTTCTTTTGCGTGGTAGGTTTGGTTAACCTCTTGTGAGTGTATATGCTTACGAAAGTTAATCTTTATCGAATCTTGAATAACACTTACCTAATTAAATACTATTTGACTAGAAGTTTTAGAAATAGAAAAAAGTTTTACAGAGGTTTTCAATTTGCTATTCTTGAGTCGTTGAAATAAATTTCAACTCAATGATCGATGTGTCATGTAACCGTCCATGAATCTGGACACAATCACACAAAGAAGATCCATAAGTTGTTTGGTATTATTAATTATCCGTTTATAGATATGTTTCCATAACCAATTCATTTTTTGTTACGAATTAGGTAATTTTGTTATAATTTTTGATTCTTTAACTTATAAATTAAATTGAAACCTACACAACCACAATCTTTAATGATACATTACTACAAATAGGATTTAGCATCCCCACATCTTCTCAAAAATTCAAAATAATAAAGAGAAGATAATAAATACAAGGACGTAACTGATAAAATCACGAAACCTGATTCAGCTTCACTATTCAAAGTGTTATAAATATCTATTACACGGCGCAAAACAAAACGCTCAAGCTCTCAAGTTTATCTTCCTCAGCCGTGTAGTTCAAATTCCGGCACAAAACTCCGCCGTCGTTTCCTCTATCGGGGATTTTCTACGAGAAGAGGTAAACCAATCTCTCTCCAACGATTTTTTTTTTTTTCATCTGAATATCATTGATCTGTTTTTGTTCTATAGAACAATTTCTGTTACTAGTAATCATATTTTCCGGAGCAGTGTTCTTAGATTAATTTTCATTTTCAAACGAAATTTGCGATTGTGTGTTTTCCATTTTTCAGATCCATAGATCTCTCGACCAAATTATGTATGTTTGCTTTCGATTTTGTATATAAAAAACTACAAAAAATAAATTAAAAAAGATGCATGTAATGGAAATTACTTAGGCTGATCTCAGATTAATGCTCATAAAAAATATCATAGATGTTCTTTGTGGAGTCACACATATATCTGACGTTGTATCAAAGGCTAATCTGTGTAAATCTGATAATTAGTCGTAGAAATATCATTGTGTAGATTTTACTTGGTAAAGAAGTTATCTATTGTCCCTTTTCTCAATAAATCAGGTCAAAAATTTCTCACATTGTTGTGATGTTGTTGAATCTCCTTCTATAGAGACCCTTTTGATTCAATGTTTCTTTTTTACTCAATTAAACTCAGGTCACAGACTAAAATTTGTCGAAACCAAATGACAATGGAAGAGGACAAGGATATATACACACAAGATGGAACTCTTGACATTCACAAGAAACCAGCAAACAAAAATAAAACAGGAACCTGGAAAGCTTGCAGATTCATTCTTGGTATTGTTCAAACCTCTAATCTTTTGTTGTAATGAAAAACCAAAAAATCGTTTTTTTTTTGGTTCTGAATTTGATTTGATTGTATCTATGATCAACTGGCAGGAACTGAGTGCTGTGAAAGATTGGCTTACTATGGAATGAGTACTAATCTCGTGAACTATCTTGAGAAACAAATGAATATGGAAAACGTCACTGCTTCCAACAGTGTCACTAACTGGTCTGGAACATGTTATGCTACTCCTTTGATCGGTGCTTTTATCGCCGATGCTTATCTCGGTCGATACTGGACCATCGCTTCATTTGTCGTCATCTACATCTCTGTAAAAATCTAAAACATGAACAAAAAAAATCTACTTTTGTTAGTTTAATCATCTCAGAATCTTGAAACTGTTTGCTCTGTTTTTTTTTGTGTGTGTAATTTAGGGAATGACGCTATTGACGATATCAGCTTCGGTTCCTGGTCTAACACCAACCTGCAGCGGAAACAGCTGTCACGCAACCGCGTCTCAAACCGCGGTTACATTCATCGCGCTTTACTTGATCGCACTCGGTACTGGAGGGATCAAGCCTTGTGTCTCTTCCTTTGGTGCTGATCAGTTTGATGATACAGACGAAAAAGAGAAAGAGTCTAAGAGCTCTTTCTTTAATTGGTTTTACTTTGTGATCAACGTTGGTGCAATGATTGCTTCCTCTGTTCTCGTTTGGATTCAGATGAATGTTGGTTGGGGTTGGGGTTTAGGTGTTCCTACCGTCGCAATGGGTGTAGCCGTCGTGTTCTTCTTCGCGGGAAGCAAGTTCTACAGGCTGCAGAAACCAGGAGGAAGCCCACTCACAAGAATGCTTCAAGTCATTGTGGCTTCATGCAGAAAATCTAACGTGAAAGTCCCTGAAGATGAATCTCTTCTCTACGAGAACCAAGACGCCGAAAGCAGTATCATAGGAAGCCGCAAGCTTGAACACACCAAAATATTAACGTAAGGCATTAGCAAGTCCAGTCTGTAATTTTGTGTTGTTGGGTTAACTTTTGATTAACTTAAAAAACATTTCAGGTTCTTTGATAAAGCAGCAGTGGAGACAGAGAGTGACAACAAAGGAGCAGCTAAGTCGTCGTTATGGAAGCTATGCACAGTGACACAAGTAGAAGAGCTCAAAGCACTGATCCGTCTCTTACCGATTTGGGCCACAGGGATTGTCTTTGCTTCGGTTTATAGCCAAATGGGGACTGTGTTTGTACTACAAGGCAACACAATGGACCAACACATGGGACCTAACTTCAAAATCCCTTCCGCATCACTCTCCTTATTTGACACGCTTAGTGTCCTCTTTTGGGCACCTGTCTATGACAAGCTAATTGTTCCCTTCGCCCGGAAATACACAGGCCATGAACGCGGATTCACACAGCTTCAACGGATTGGAATCGGGCTCGTAATCTCTATCTTTGCTATGGTCTCTGCAGGAATACTCGAGGTCGCAAGGTTAAACTATGTTCAAACACACAATCTTTACAATGAAGAGACTATCCCGATGACGATTTTCTGGCAAGTTCCACAGTATTTTTTTGTGGGTTGCGCGGAGGTTTTCACTTTTGTAGGTCAGCTTGAGTTCTTCTATGATCAAGCTCCTGATGCTATGAGGAGTCTCTGCTCGGCTTTGTCGCTCACCACGGTTGCATTTGGGAACTATCTGAGCACATTTCTGGTGACATTGATCACTAATGTCACGAGATCGGGTGGAAGACCAGGCTGGATCGCTAAAAACCTCAACAATGGTCATCTTGATTACTTCTTTTGGCTATTAGCTGGTCTGAGTTTCTTGAATTTCTTGGTCTTCCTTTGGATTGCTAAATGGTACACTTACAAGAAAACGACAGGGCATGCGCTTTGATGATACGGAAAACGTCACGACGCCTGCAATGTCCTATAGAGAGAAATCTCGAATTCTATTTCGATCTTAATCGCTCTGTTTGATAATCTCGTTACTGAAACATATTTACAGATATTATTTTTATTTTTCACTAAATCACCAAGTTTTAGGTTCTTTGCTTGAGTTTAGGTTACTAGATACTACTTTCGAAATCGACTATCATTATTGTATTGTGGTTGCAGAGTTCAAGGGTTTGTATCGAACAGGCATACAAAGCATTGTGTTGAGATTCCGTAGTGAAACCGATCTTGATTTCTTTGATTACAACGAGAAGATTAGTGATGAATCTGTGATCAAACGCTCTAAGATTCCGATGCAAGCTTTCAAAGAACCTGCAGGATTGAAACAGATTAGGATAGTGGAGAATGAAAAAACAAAAGTTGGATGATTTTGAAAAGAGAATGAACAAGCAAATAAAGGGAAAAGGCGGCAACAAAGAAGATCATATAACTTGATTAATAGACCCAAGTTTGAAACTTAACACTTGGGCTTGATACGTCAAGCTACTTCTACATTTGCTTTTGCATCGTAAAACAACAGATCTCAGTGATGTATACTCAAACCACCAAGACCAATGTGTGTCATCCAGATGCTTATGTCGCTCACTTCAAAAACCATTTGTTATGTTTGTTTAAGCTACTTAAAGAATCAATCTATATGCAATCTTGATAATGCAGACACAGAGAAAGGCCTCGAACTCAGACTTAGCTAGTTGCTGAAATTAAGAGAAGATGATACATTGATGCTAATGCAGCTTGATTTTTGATGCAAAGTAGGAGAAACAGAGAGAACAAAAGCTGACCAGAGACTATAAAGATGATACCTTTAGTCACAACCCAGCCTTGACTAATTCAGTTGCTCGATACCTTAAGCTAAGCTGGCCAGAGATTATACATTGCCTTCTCGGTATCTCTCTTCTCTCTCAGACATTTCGTCAAACACTTTCAAAGCATCACCCAAATTTCCAGTTTTTTACAATATCCTTGCCTTTCTCAATCTGTCTCGTCTTCTTACTTGCATTCTTGCAATCGAATCAGCTCGACGAACACAACCAATCATAAATCGGAGGATGTGGTGGAAGCAGGGACGGCGGCGGAGTAGGAGCATAACTCTAAATTCCGAGAGTTTAGGTTTTGTTGTTATATAACGTTGAAAACGACCCGGTTCTATTTTGGTCTGATTAACTCCGGTTAAGTAGATAACCAATTATTCACAAAGATAATTAGACAAAACCAAAATTAACCCCAAAACAAAACCTCCCATTGCTCCCAATAATTAAAATGAAGAGGGACAATTTCGTCAATACAGCCTCATAACTCTCCTTGCTATAGAGTGGCCGTGACTATTTGCCTTAGCCGCCGTCTTCTCCCACCCACCACCACCGCCTCCGCCGCCACCACCACTACCACCGCCGCTCCTCCAACTACTCCTCATCGGAGTCAAATAAAACCTCAACATTCCGTTCTCTCCATCTTTAGACGAATACCTCGAACTCTTATTCCTCGTCGATCCTCCGCCGGAGCTTCGCCAGCTCACATTGCTGTTACTTCTCCTCATCTTCGGTCCTCCTCCTTCTCCGTTCCTCAGCTCCGGCCACGATTCCGATAAAGACCTCTCAACCATTCCGGCGCTGTTGGATCTGCTATACCTATCTTCTTCTTCTTCATCGTCCTTACCTTTCCTGTATATAAACCCTAAAATGCTCCATTTCCCCCACCGTCTCGATTTTTTATCTCCGTTTTGATTCCCTTTGTTCTCCTCTGTTTCCATGAAATTTGAATCTATTGTTGTTGTCGCCGGAGAAACCTTTGAATTTGATACCGATTTGACATCGTCCAGCTCCGTCGCAATTTTCCTAATTGAATTGGATCTGTCGAGGCTCTTCCGTCTCCGTGACGACGGAGGTCCAGTGTAATAGTCTCGAGTTTGATTAGATCCGCCGGGGATAATGATAATCGGATCGGATTCATTGTTAACCGGATTAATTGACGGAGACGACGGTTCTTGCACTGGAATCTGCATGTCTGATCGATGAATTGGCGCGTTTTTCACGACTGATAACATCGATGGCGGCGGAGGAACCCTAACCGCCGTTGTCCTGCTGATTAAGTGTCCATCCCACGACGCTCTTGGCTCGTCCAACGAGTAACGAGAATCGTCCAGAGAAATCCGACCAATATCGACGGAGAATCTCCCGGCGTCAAGAGAGAATCTCGGGTCGGTGTCGCTGGATCTCCGGCCTACTCCGATTTCAGATTGTGGCCGTCCTCCGCCGCCGCCGACACCGCTTCTCGGTTTCTTGATCTTCTGTTTCTGCCTCCATTTCTGAAGTTTCTTGCTGAAAACAGAGGCCGCCGAAAAGAAACTCCCGGCGAAATCTTTCACCGACGGTTTCTTTGTTTGTGAGTAGAGATCCATGTAATCCTTCATTGGCTTCAATTCCTCTTCTTCCTCAACAATTTCGCCGCATTTTTCTTCAACCATTTCGCCGGTATCTTCTAAGATCTCAGAGTGGCCACCGTTTTCTACTTCCTCCTCAATTTCAGCTTCTTCATTCACCTCTAAAACTATCTCACTCACGCTAGACTTTCTCGGCTCGTCCTCGATTTTACCGCCGGAGACGACGATGGTGGCAGTTTCTTTGGAGGGAGGGTTTCTATGGTCGTCACGAAGCCTGACGTCACAAGACCGACGCTGCGGCTCAAACCCACCGGAGAATCCTTCGTTGTTCTTTGCAGAAAATGACTTCGTACGTCGGAGCTCCGGGAAGAAACCGGGTTTGACCCGACCGTTTCCACTAGAAGCATTGTTATTGTTGTTGTTGTTATTACAACTAGAGGAGGGCTTAAAGAGAGCTTTTAACGTAGCAGCGGAGATAGTGGGAGGTTTCCGGGAAGAAGACGACGGCGGCGGAGCGGCGTTGTGATCTAAGACGGAGAGGCGATCGCAGAGACAGGAAGGACAGAACCCGGAGAAACGCTCATCTGGGTGGAGATCACATGATGTTGATAAGCGATGCGGTTGAGACGGCGGAGCTAGTTCGTCGGCGGCGGCGATGGGAGCTTGGTCGGCGGAGAGATTCATAAGAGGAAACGATGAGTGATAATATCACGGCTCGTTTCTCTTTGGCTCATATCATCACTGTCTTGTCTGCTTAATTGCTTAGAGAGAGATTGGAAGAGTTGTTTATGTCTGAAACTTTCGTCTGTTACCAACGGACATTGAAAGAGAAAGGAGATGAATAGAAAAAAACAAAAACATTATTATTATATAAAATCCAAACCACATTTAATAAAATTAAAATATTTAATGAAATATTTTGCAGGTGTCAGATTAAATCTGCGCTATTTTTTTTTTTTTTTTTTTTTTTTGGTAAAACTATTTTTTTTTTTAGGAAAGAAGGTTCAATATTGAGTCTGACAATTTTAATATAAGAACAATGGTGTGATTTTTATGGGTTGATCGATCTCTCTGCCATTCTGATTATCTGTTCTTTGAGAAAATAAAATTTCTTTTAACAGTCAAAAAAAAAAAAAGATTAGAGTATCGACATTTTTCATTGTTGTCTATCAGAACATACAATAACTATCAAATCTTAATCAATTTCTTAATATAAACATTAGTAGTATAAATTATCAAAACGTATTAGATAGAAGCCATAGAAGTGTATTTATTGATTAATATAAATGCTGAGAATATCCAGCTACACGTGTGCTTATACGGAATTTGTTATTTCTTCTTAATAACTTTATTTGTACTGGCTAAGCTTTTTTCCTTTTTGTTGTAAATACTCACATCAATTTGCATGGGGTTGTCGCGACGATACTATTCGTTTTGCAATAAGAAACGACATAACCACCATTTACGTCTTAATTTCAGCTGAAAGAAATAAATTATTTTGACCCTTTACAAATTTTGTCTTATGAGGCAAAACTGCAAAAGTGAATTTTAAGGGTTAAGGCCCAAGTCGTACGTATTTAAATTTGAGCCAACCAAAAGCAGAAAAGCAGAAAAGGCAATTCACGCCATCAAATCTTATTTGTTGTTTGGTCTCTCTATTCACTATTCTCTCCTGTTTTTCCTTTTTCTTATATGTATGATTTTTCTCCATATTCATAACATTTTCCCAAAATAAAAAAAAAATCTTGAACACTATCTTTCCTTTGTATAAATTTTTCGTATACTTACCAAACAAAGCATGAAATCTTTGTTGTAGCGTGTGCATACATACATTTTCGTACGTGTGAGGAGTATTTTCACAATTTTATTCGCCGGTATTTATCGTTCTTGTCCTTTTTGGTCATCAAAGATCTATGTCGAGAACTTTTTACGTGACGTGATTATTTCCATCATCTATTAACCTCAACGCAATCAATGCCATTAATGTGGGCTTTTACTTATATTTTCACCAATCAAATAAGCTTTTTTAGTCTTTCCTAAACAGTAGTATATACTTAGAAAAGGTAACTTTAAATTATGTATAATAGTATATAGAACATAAACTTATATTGAGAAAAAAAGCAGACCCAAGTAAAACTAATTGTGATCAAAGAAAGAAAATGAACTATATCCCTATATTTACATTATCTTTTGGTTGGTCATAATGATTGGTGTGATTAATCATGAAATTTACGACAATGATTATACTAGCTTTTACATTTTGAAATTTATATGGGGATCGCAATAATTAATAGAAAACATGGGGAAAAGTTTCTTAGATCTCAGTTTTCTTCTATTCTCATAATGTGAAATAATGGTGTCTTGCAAATATTGCTATGTATCATTATGGTTCATAATTGGAGAATCCATTTGAAACGAAATTTCCCATAGCCACACACTTATAAATGACTGGTTCAATTCACATGATTTCTAGTTTAAAACTAACAAAAATGAATAAGTTATTTGATTATTTTTTTACTTTTTACTATATTTTGTGTGTGTTTATGTTAGAGAATAAATGCTTACAGAAATTTGAACTTCTTGCTGAAATAGTGGATACACATGTAGAGTGAAGGAATCCCAATAAAGAGACTGTGAACTGTTGTCTGTGAGCATTATACGTAAAGCCAATACAAAAGAAAAAAGAAAAAGAAAAAACACACAAAGATGACAAATCTCAAGGCTTTTTACTAAGAAGTAAAAACCTTTTTGTTTCTTATTTTACCTAGATTTTTACACATACATATGAGCTATGAGCCTCTGCCACATGCACATGTGTAGATGATTGAATATTTACATTTGTTTCTTAGTCACGGTGGGTGGAAACAGATTACAGTATTAGGATGGTTGTTTCTACAAAATGGTAAAACCTTTGATTCAACTCAAATATTTGGTCTTCGGATCGAATTTTGGCACAGTTTTTCTGTATATTTTGGTTTTAACTTTAGTTTTACTGTAGAGTATTATTTTAAAAACAAGCAAAAATTAATGAAATGATTTTGGATTATTCAAAACATATTTTGTTTAAAAATGGGCCTTAATCTAGTTATTAAAACCCTAGAAAATAGCCCAAATTTAAGTGCCCAGGTAAGGTTTATCATCAACATCTCTCGGGAAGCCCTACCTCCGATGCCTTGAGCAATCGAAAAGGTAACAATTAAACCTAAACGATCCTCCCTCAGAAACGTAACAGTTTGAACAAGAAGTGGAATCTTCTTTCTGGAACTTGGTAGAACCAACACTTGTCACTGGAATGGAAAAACAGGTAAACGTGTTGTAAAACTTTCTTTCTTTCTGTAGCAGAACAGATTGCACCGTTTGAATTGATTTTGATGTTATATTATCCGTTTTGTAGAAAACATTGGAAGGTTTGCAATCTGTGCAAAATAATTCTCTGGCAGATTCAAAACTCAGAAGAAAGCTCATGGACCAATTTGTGAATGATGCAACATACGGCCTCTTTATGAGGACCGCAGATCCATTATTAGATCCGCTTCCGCTTAGATACCCTCACAACTTGACAAGATCTCTTCCGGAAGGGATCACGCCCAAGGAGCTTGGTATTATTAATCTCACAGCTCAGTTCATGGCGGTTTTTGGGATTTTCTTCCAGCGGGCTCTGATTAAGACGGTGATTACTGACCCTCGGTTTGACTTCATGATCAAGGCACCTGATGATTGCAAGAACTCTGTTTACTATGGGCTCCTCGCTGGCTATATGCCAACTGATGATAGCAAGTTCTCTTTTTACTGTCGTCTCTTTCGTGGGTACTTGGCTGTATCAAAGCCTTGCCAAGACCTGACTAAGAATGCTGGTGCTAGTCCCGAGACTGTTCTTGAGGGGTTTTTCCATCTTCTTGCTCTATTGGAGGATGAGGAGAAGATTGGTATGGTTGATTTGCATGTTTTTGAGTTTCTTGCTAAAACGTTGGGTTATTGGACATTACCACCTGGACACCTTTCAGATATGCTGCATTCTCCGATGATTGAACTTCTTAGGACACCAATTCATGGTATGCCAATGCCAGACGATTGGCATGACAAGATAAGGGTCATGGAAACTGAAATCCATGATGTTGAAAGCCGCCGCACTTGGAGGAACTCTGTTTCTTATCATGCATGTTACCAGCAAATGCAGATCCTAAGTCAGGAGGATCATGCCTTTTGCGAGCATCCCAAGGACTTGCAGCAAAACAATTCTAACGACCAAGGTCCCTCGGCGCATTCGCTTCCATCTCCCTGGAGTGGTCTGCCGCTTCCCGAGTTCACAAGCTTAATTCCTGAAGGGATCACGCGCCAGGAGCTTGGTATTATTAAGCTCACAGCGCAGTTTGACGGTGTTTATGGGATCTACTTTCGGGAAGAGATAGAGAAGCTGTTGATTGAAGACCCTCGGTTTGCCTTCCTCAAGCCAACTGATAATAGCAAGTACTACTCTTTCTTCTCTAATCTTTCTCTTGGGTATGATATGGTATTAATACCTTCCCGAAAGAAGGGTGAGGCATTATTACCTAATCGAAAGATGAGTGGGTCTCCTAGTTTGGAGACCGTTCTTGAGGGCTTTTGGAATTTGTTTGAAATGGTTGAGGAGGGAGTGGACATGGGTATTGTTGATTTGCATGCTTTTGAGTTTTTTGCCAACACGGAGGATCAAGAGTTGAATCTACCACATCAATACCTTTTAATGATCATGTACCCGCTGGTACCTCCGTTTGCTCATTTGCAAGCTCGCATGCCTCGAGGCTATTATCCACTAGCCCCTCCACGTGATCTCCCAAACCCAAAGAGACTAAAGCTTGACAAGGACTCAAGCAGGCCCGGTAATGTTTTCTGCCATATAGAACCTTTTTATTATTATTTCTGACGTTGACTTGTATCTAATTAGTAGTCGTACGTTTTCCAGGGTTGGTTGAACAGTCTTCTTTGTCAGAAGGTGGTGGTGGAGAAAAAGAAGGAGAAACAAGCCTACAGGGGGGCAATGCTTTTTAATCTTTTGTTTAATACTAGCTATAGATGTTGGTGGCCTAAAACTAAACACCATTAAAATGTTTTTGTTTTGTATGTGCAGCTTGATGCTTGGTAATAACTTATCTTTAATATGTGCTACTCGTTGTGGTTTTCGGATCGAATTTTTGTCACAGTTTTGACTCTGTTCAAATTGGCTTTAATCGAATTACACGTTAGACCCACATACGACAGCGTCTTTAGAAACAAAAATACTTGAAACTTTCAAACGACAAGTTTAACATTGCCACAAACAATTGAAACTAGTCTCTACCCTGACTCCTGCCCAAAGCCATCACGGTTCTCTTGTTGCCATCCAAAACTTTGACCGTCTCTACCCCGGTTAACCTGCTGGGTCGTTTGAGGTGGTGCCATTCCGGGATTCCACGACGGAGGAGGATATGATCCTTGGAAATTCAGATTCATCATTGGTGAAGGCGGCGGATACCCGAGCAATGAACCTTGTTCTGATCCGCCACTCTCTGTTCTTGTCATCTCGTACTGAGCACCGTTAAAGAATTGTTGAGATGATCCACTCTCTGTTATTGGATACGAAGGAAAACCAAACTGCTGTGGTAACCCCGGGTTTTGATTCATTGTAACGGGCAAGCTGGGTGGTTGCATAAGATTCATAGGCTGCGGGTAGTCTGGGAACCGGATACCTGGTTTAGGACTAGCGGTTTCAAATCCCGGAGGGCGAGAGTTATCGCTATCTGGAGGGTAATTCTGGACTTGACCAAATCCAGATTGTGACTTTGCAAATGACGCCGACCTGTTTAGTAACGGTTGTTCACGGGATTGTTGCTGCTGGGATCTTAAAGGACCTCGCAACGTGGATTCTGAAGCTGAAGATTGCTGCATTGTGCTCTGAACATCTGACTGGTTACCATCTTCTTTCTCTGCATCGGCTTGTAATAGGCTTCCGTGGAGCTCATGGACATGGGCTTCAAAGTCAAGTTTCTTCAGGAATGACCTAAGACAATGAGGAGCTGCACAGATAAAGATTCCTTCCATCATCTTGATTGTCTGAATTTTCTGAATCCGTTCATCACATCTGTCGAGTAAACACACACACATACACAAGGACAACAAGATTTCAGTTTGATAATCCCGCTATAATCGCTTCGTCTAGTAAGATCTCTGTGGATTACCAAACAATCTAAAGTATCTACCAAAAGCTTCTAATGTAATGCTTCCATGTATCTAAACTTCCCAATTCGTCGACATTACTATTTGAATCATAGTTAAAGATGCTTACAGATAGCAGATTGAATCACTACGAGCACATTCAAGGCAAAAGGCATGATCACAAGGTATCTGCAAAACCAAACAACTCAAAACTTTCAATCACATAGAAGAACCCCCAAAAAACCCTAGCACAATCAAAATCATAAACCAATTAAGGAGGCGAACTTTTACCAGACGACCATAGATTGCAATCGGAAAATCACAACGGACGCAGAAATGAACTCTCTCGCCTAGTTGACGGCGAGAACGACGACCAACTGGCTTGATTACGGTGGTGGGAGTCACGGAACCGATCCCTTTCGCGACAGGAAGATCAGCGAGGACGAGATGGTCAGGACAGGCTACAGTAACTGTCTCCGTCGGAGAAGGCCTCGCTCCATTTCCAGTCTCCGTCGGCGAATCTCTCCGAAGCCGAATTTGAAGCATTGTCGCTGTAACTCCCACATAACCAAAAACAAAATTACATATAAACGGAACCCTAAAATATACAAAATCAAACAAAAGAAGAGGAATCAAAAGCTGCTCTACTTACCAAGTAAAATCGGAGATTGGGATTTCAGATCTCTCTCTACTTCAGTTCTTCTCAAGAATCACGCCGGTGCCGAAAACGGCGAAGCAATTTTTTTTCTTTTCTTTTGTTGGGCAACGGAGGAGGAGGCGATACACTCTAATTAATTTTTATTTTATTTGATAAAAATTATTATTCACAATAAAAGAGTAAACCTTCGGGCTGAGAAAGAGGGTTTCAGGAACCAGAGTCTTCAACATTCCAAGTGATTGCACAAACATATACTAGGAAATTTCAGATTTTAGGATTGTTGCTTTATTGTTCAAAGCAGAGGATGACACCAATGAAGCTCTCAACATAATTCAAAGCCTGACTGTAAAGACAGTTTTCAAACATTTGAGCAGGAGTTCATCATTGGTGTCAAGATCAGAAGTGTTCTCATTAGCTGGTTTAACTCCAAAAAAATAATTATTCTTGGTCTACTTGATCAACAGTAGTAGTGCCAGAAAAATGTATGTAGTCGTGGAAGTATCTCATAAACAATATTAGACATATATATAAGTGTTTGACAAATCAATTACAACATAAAACAAAACAACAATCAAGCATCAAGCTACTAGGTCAATACTCCTCAGACGCCATATCACGAATACAAAACGAGGAACAAAATATTGCATTGTCCAACTCCAAAACTACTTTTTGTGGACAGCGCTTCTTACAATAGAAGCAAATAGGTCGAGACATATTGTTGGGAAGAACAAGTACCTCACAATCGCAGTTGATCCACCATAAACCAGGCTTCATGTATAAGTCCCTCCCATGGAGACAATCAATGTGTAGGGTGACACAACAGTACTCATCACACTTATAAAACCGCTTATTCCGATATATTTTTCCCTCGCAAACTTCACACCAAGGCATCATGGAACTTGTCTCCTTGTGATAAGAAAGAGTGAGCATGTGCTTATCATGCTTATACCTCACCGTATGAGGTAAAGTAGCACATTCAAAACACAAAGCAAAGTCACACTTATCAATGCAGTTGAATGTTTCACACACAGGTCGCCGTTTGCAAACCGAACAACTTCTTTTTACTCCTGGTTTGGATGTTAGGAATAAAGGATGCTTATGACTTTCATGGACTAATGGCTCAGAAATTGTGGCACACTGCACGTGTAACTGGAAATCACATCCTTCTTTACTGCATCCATAGAAGAAACCAACAGTGCACATCAAAAGACAAGCTGAACATTCATACGTATTTCTTGTAACACCATCATATCTTCCCACTTGCGCGAGCATATGCGGATGTATTGGGTGATGTATTTTGCGAGAAAAATTTGCGCATTCTTCGTGGAGAATGAAGTCACATTGCATACAAGAGTAGAAGTTACCAAAATAAATTGGCATGGTGCATGCTTGACACTGCCTATTCTCGTCGTAATCTCTGTTCGTGTTCTCATCAAGCCTCAAATAATGATGCTGATGACTGAAATGATGTATGATTCCCTCGCTTATCCTCACAAACGGCGGCTCAACTTCTTCTTCAATTTCTTCTGGCTCTCCCTCAAGTTCTTTACCATCCCACACATTTTTTTGTGTGGCACATCTTGAATGAGCCGCATACAAACAACCGTCCTTGATGCAAGAATAACCCCCGTAATCATTGTCGATTTTTCTGCGACATACACCACAAACCAAATCTCCTTGGTCAAAACAAGGGGTAAAAGAGAGACGATGGAAATGGCGTGATATCCGTATGACACGTGGTAAACTGATACATCGTAGATGCACCACAAAGTCACAAGGAGGGCACATATAGATAGGTGAGCTTGCATCGGCCAAGGCACAGAGGTTGCAAGTTAACAAAGCATATCTTGGAAACAGAGCAAGAGTATGTTCATGCCACTTTGGATGGTCTATATATAAGACTGGTGGTTTCTTCGCACAAAAAAAGTTAATAGCAATATCGCAAGCCGAGCAATAATAGAATAACCTTATGAGATCTTCATCACAACAATAACATTCCCTCGTTCCACAATACTTGTTCAACAAGACAAGCTGAAGCGAATGTTTAGGATGCAGAGGGTGTTTGATCTCAACTGGAGCCTTGTCATTTTCTTCATGGTTGTCGCCATCGCAAGTTGGACAGTGAAAATGTGTCGCGTCTTCTACTACTAAGCTGAATTTATCCCAGTATAGAGGGAGACAACCCCACTTTTTATTGCTGCTCCCGGAGAATTTTTTAACCACATGAAACTTTCCATCTTCCAATTTTACTCTTTCTTGAGGGCATAAGGAGATAAGTTTCTTCCACTCCGGATTCATAGAGACGACAAGGGAGAATACTTGATGGATGAGTGATATGAGCTCCGGCTCCGGCTCAAGACTCAATGTTTGACCAATGAGTGACACGAAGTCCGACTCCAGCTTCTCCTTAGAATCCCAATCTATAGGGTCGACAAGAGAGAATATATAAGACACGAGTGATATGAGTTGTCTAAGCGGCTCCGGCTGGGAATCCAAATCCATGGAGTTGAAAAGAGAGACTGTTTGAGTAGTGAGTGACATAAGCTCCGACTCCGGCTTCGGCTGAGAATTCAAATCCATAGAGCGGACCAAAGAGATTATTTGAAGAATGGGTACTATGACCTTCGAAACCCGATCCGAAAGCCACGAATTAGTGTCAGTGAGAGACATTAGTTGAGTGATGAGTGATATGAGCTCCGACTCTGACTCCGGCTCCCAATCTGCTGCATCCATAGAGTTGCCGAGAGAGATGGTTTGAGTAAATGTAAGAATTTTTGTTTTGATAAAATTTGAATATGAGAGATCTTTCTTTGCTTTCTTTTGTTTGTTTGTTTTGGAAGCAGCAAACAATAACTCTCTATATAATCGATATGTTTAGTGCATAATATATGAAAATAATTAATACAGAGAAATCACGACACAGACTGTCACCATGAATATATATATATATATATTTAAGAGTCGTTGGAAGAAAAGAAAAGGAAAAAAAAAATATAGCAATTGGTACTTAAATTATTCTTTCTTTTTTTCCAATTTAACTTAATCATTCAAAAGTTTTAGCCTATGCCAAACAAAAAAAAAACATTGGATGATGATTCCTTCTCTTTTCTTTTTGCCCAACCATTGATCCAACTTTGAATTTTGATTGATCGTGATTCATGAACATGAGACCTATTAGGCTTATTACTTTCTCCATATGCGTGTTTTCTCTTTTCATAAATTATGCGCTGGTTGCGGAGCTTGCCTTATCATAAATGTATATGTAAAGCAAAGTCAATGATCGATTTAGCGACAAACTACCACTACAATATCCTTATATATAATATACTCTATATTCGACTTCCTAGAGAAATCAACCATGCTCAGAATTCAGAAATGTATTAATGAAGGTTAAGGTTGGCATGTGCCACGTTCAAATGCTCAGAATTCAGAAATGTATTAATGAAGCTTAAGGTTGGCATGTGCCACGTTAGAAAACTAGATGGGAAAAAAGTTTATGATTTTCTTGAAAACAACTCTGTGGTCATTTTAAGTTTCAAATAAACCAAATGGACAACTCAAGTCAAGACCGTATGAGAAAAATTAACAATTCTGAATTATATTCTCAAACGGAAGTCTCGAAAAAGATGAGAAAATCCACATAGTCCAAACTCCAAACAGAAAGAATCAAGAAAACAAATCTAGCAAGCAATTGAAGTTTTGGGTTTAACAATCAATATTGATTGCAGTCTATGGTCGTCTGGTAAAAGTTATATTGATTGTTAAACCAAAAAACAAAATTACATATAAACGGAACCCTAAAATATACAAAATCAAACCAAAGAAGAGGAATCAAAAGCTGCTCTACTTACCAAGTAAAATCGGAGATTGGGATTTCAGATCTCTCTCTACTTCAGTTCTTCTCAAGAATCACGCCGGTGCCGAAAACGGCGAAGCAAACTTTTTTTTTTCGGGCAACGGAGAGGAGACGATTTTATTTAAATAAAAATTATTCAGAATATAAAAATAGAAATAGAGAGAAACTTCTGCCTGAGGAAGAGGTTTTCAAAGAAAGTCATTATTCCAAATTATATACCAATACAGGATCTTATTATAAACTTTTGTATATGAATGCATTTGTTTCGATAGCTTGGTAAGGTTTCTCTATTGAACGTTGTATAGTTTCTTAATATTAAGAATAACTCAAAAAGATGTGCAAGTTTTTGCCTGCATTTAGGCTCATAGCTTTAAACAATCTATTCAAATAAAACTCAATAATTTGATTAGTCATACAAAGAAAGAAAAAGCTTGGAAATCCACTAATAAGAAAGAACACATGAGGAATATGAGGTAGATTCTAAAAACATAATCAACAATCGATTAGTAGCTACTTAAGAGTTCATTCTCACTAGCTCTGTATTTTTCTTCAAGTCTCTTCCTTCACCTTCTTTGAAACCGGGCTCAATAAATCAGTCTCCTCCTTCAGTTTCTTAGCAATCAAATTCCATAATGCCGTGCTCAAAGCAGAGGATGTCACCAATGAAGCTCTCAACAAATTCACAGCCTAATTCAAAGAAAGTTTCGGTCAAGTTAGTATCAAGTAAAGAGGATCAAAAAGGGTATTTAGAAGCATACCTCTGCATTGCTGATGCTAACTACTTGCACCTCTAAATCGTCTGCATGACTCTGCAAGTTCTTTAGTAAGCAAACTGTGGAGCAGGAGTTCATAGATGTAATGTTCAGATCATCTAACACAGTAAACTTTGTCTCTTTCTTCAAGAACCCATGAGTAGACTTATCACTGCCACGGGATTTGGGATCCATCAAATCCACCCGAACGATTCTGTCCTTGCGGAAATAAGTAATTCGATTACCGTTTGTAGTCAAACCATAGCTCACTTGCCTGGAATCGTAGAGCCTGTAGCGGTAGTATAGTGGAGGTTGTTGAGTGATGATACCAGGCAACTGCATCTGGAAATTATAAAAAGAGGGAAGCACGCATGTGGAAGTTGACACTTCAGTCCCCTCATTAGCCTTTAAGTCACTGAAGCTTCTACACAAGTTTCCAATGCAACCTAAGGAGATACTGCTGCCAGAGATTTCCCATACAGATTCTAGCGGGATGGCAAGAAAAGATAAAAGAAGCTCAACAAATTCCTCTCCGCATTCAACAAATAAAATCTTCATGTCCTGCTTCCTCACAAATGCTTTCAAAGTTACTACCTTTTCCGGTTCTGCTTCATCTTCTTTTTTCTCCAAACATGGACTTAGCGATTTGTAAAACTTCATCACACCTTGTGAACTTTTCTTGTTCAAGAATGCGTCCGTCAAGGGAGCTTTTGAGGAGAATATACATTCCAGCAGAGTGAATACCTAGTCAAAGATTCAGATATATAGTAAGAGAAGACGAATAAAGCAATGATGACATAGCTTGGAGAATAAACTAACATACCTCTTCTAAACCAATATCAAGAAGCCTTTCACCGAGCTTACTAATATCAGCACAGCCTAGAGATTTGAGCTTATTCAAGACAAGTTCAGTGGACTTGACGGACACTTCCATGTCATCGGTTAAGATGAATGAACACCTACCGCTGACAAATACTCCATTAGCATCACTTTGATTCTGGCCTGCAACTTTTTCTTCGTTATCTAATTTAATCTCTTCGTTCATAAATTTTCCGCAACGACATCTAGAGGTGTTAAAATTACTGTATAAGCTGCAGTAACTTGGGCACTTAAAGCACTTGATGTCCTCAGTAGGGTTTATGTTGAGCTTAAGCCTTTTGCACTGGAAGTCCCTCACACTCCTTGGATACATGAGCATCTGCTTACAAGCTTCAGTCTCAAAAATATCTCTGCCCATCTCCACAACGCTTCTAAAGAGATTGTTGAAACAGCCCACAGTAACTGGCTCAGATTTTCGATGATTCTCAAGCAATCTGACAATGGTTCCCATTGGAAGTGTCAGAAGGCTGAAGAGTACATCAACAAAATCCCTACAAGCTTCAGCCAAAACAACCTTGTTTTTCTCTTCATCAACAATAAGTCTCAAAGTAAACTTAGGCTCCTTAGAACTTTTAGCCATTAGCGTAGATTATAGATGAAAGAAAGAAAAAAGCAAGTCAGAGAAGAAAACGTTTCTTAGACACTCAGAAACAGAAGAGACACTATAGAAGCAGAGAGCATCAACTCCCATTTTAAGAGGGTCTAAAGTCTGACATTGAATGAACTATAATAACGAGTCATCAACACCAAAGAGTCATAAACAAAAAATCCAACCCTTTGACTGTTGCATGCACTTAAATTCACAAATTTTTCACTTAACTCTGAACATTGAATGTGGTGAGTCATCAAAACCAATAACCACAATCAAAACTTTGATTTTCTCGTTGACTGAGAAAGACAAGGAAGAAATTGTGATTCAAACTGGATTATTTACTTAATGCGACAGAAATTTATGATTTTCTTGAAACCAACGTTGTAGTTATTTCAAGTTTCAAATAAACCAAGTAGAAAACCAAAGTCAAGACCATAAGAGAAAAATTAACAATCCTGCTGAAAAATATTCTCAAACGGTAGAGTTTATAACATTATAAACTAAGTCTCAAGAAAGATGAGAAAATCCACATTGCACAAACCGAAAGAATCAAGCAAACAAATCTAGCAAGCAGTACAAGTTTAGCGTTGAAGAATATCTCAGGATTCTCTCCACCTTTGTGTTTACTTTAAGTCTCTACCTTTGGTTTCTTTGAAACAGGGTTCCACGAAACAGTCTCTTCCTTCGGTTTCTTTACAATCAAATTCCCAAAAGCAGAGCTCAAAGCAGAGGATGTCACCAATGAAGCACTCAACAGATTCAAAGCCTGATATAGTAGTACAAAGAATCATAATTTTGTAGGAAAAAAGAAAAAGGGTTTAGTTTCTACAACAAGTTTCTTTTACCTCTGCATTGCTGATGGTAATTGCTTGCACCTCCAAATCATCAGTGAGAATCTGAAACTTCTTCAACATAGAAAATGTTGAGCTAGAAATCTTAGGTGTTACAATAAGATCATCTGACACAACAAACTTTGTCCCTCTCTTCACAAACCCCTTACCATCTTTTGACCGACCACAACAATCAGATTTTGGATCCACAAAAGTCATGCGCCTTGTAGTACGTTTTGTAGTCAAACAATAACCGCGGCTTAAGTAAAGCCGTGGTGTAGGATTTCTGATATTGAGCAACTTTTTCTTGCACCTATAATAATACGGAAGCATACATTTAGATGTTGACAACACTTCATTACCACTCAAGTCTTTGAAGCTTCTGCACAAGTTCCCAATACGTCCTAATGTGATATTGTTGCCAGAGATTTCCCATGTAGACTCCAACGGAATGGCGAGAAAAGTGAAAAGAAGATCAACAAAGTCTTCACCGCACTCAACGTACAAAATCTTCATGTCTTGTTTCTTTACGATTGCATCAAAAGTTATAACTTTGTCTTGTTCTGCTTCTTCCTCCAGCTTTCTATAAATCTTCCTCACCGTGTGTGAACTTTGATTCTTCAAGAAAGTATCCGTTAAAGGTGTATTTGAGGTGAATACACATTGCAGCAAAGTCATAACCTATATGTAATCAAGGAGAGCTCTTAAAACTCATTTCAAGCTAAGCATTTATAATTAACATGGAAGAAAAGATCTAACCTCTTTGAAACCGATATCAAGAACCTGCTCTCTCAGCTTACTAACATCAGCACAACCAAGATCTTTGAGTGTTTGCAAGAGAGAACTAGTAGAGTCATCCGTGACTCTCAAGTCATCGGTTATGATAAACGACGACTTGTCTCTCATAAACATTCCTTCGACATCATTTTCCTCATATTCTAAAAAACTTATCTCCTCATTCATCATCTTTCCACACTTACATATGGACGAATTAAAATTACTACACATTCTGCAGATTAAGAAATTTCGGCACCCAAAACACTTGAAGCTTTCATTAGGGTCTATGTTGAGCTTAAAGTTTCTGTATCGAGCTTCCCTAATGTTCTTGGGATAAAGCAACATCTGCTTACAAGCTTCGGTCTCATAATCATCAAGTTCCATGTCCACAACACTTGTATAAAGGTTGCTAAGACATCCAATAGTAACTGGATCAGACTTTCGATGCTTCGCAAGCAATCTAACGATTGTTCCCATTGGCAATGTCAAAAAACTGAAGAGTACTTGAACAAAATCCTTACCAGCCTCAGCTAAAACGACCTTGTTTTTCTTTTCGTCAATGATGAGTCTTAATCTAACCTTTGGTTCCGTAGAACTCTGAGCCATTGTAGATCAGATGAATGAAACAGAACAAAGAGAGAAAAAAAATCAACCCTTTAGACTAGCACCTTGTCTCACAAATTGGAAAAAGAACTACCGTGCATTTACATTAAGATCCACATTCTGTTGGAAGATCTCGGAGATATTAAGATAAGGAAATGGTAATATTACAAAAAGATCTTACTATATCTTTAGAAATATTAAGTTAGGCTTGAAAATTTAATCTAATCAAATTTCCACAAGAGAAATTAAACAATCAAGAATACTGTATATAAAAGTCACGCGCACAAGTCGATCTCAATCACAAAACACCTTCATTGCTTTGTTAAGACAGGACTGATAAAGTTCATCAATGAGAAAACATCATTATGTGTTATATGTCTACAGAAACCAAAGGAAAAGTAGCCAAAACAGAAAAGATGGGAACAATGTGGAATTTAAATAGTTCTTAAAATCATAATAAAAAAAAGCACTAGCAACTGAAGATTGAATCTCACAGGATCTCTGTTTCTTCAAGTCTATTCCTTCATCTTCTTCGCAATCAAGTTCCATAAAGCAGTGCTCAAAGCAGAAGATGTCACCAAAGAAGCTCCCAACAAACTCATTGTCTGATTTAAGAGACAGGTTACATTTAAAGGAGTACATGTATTACATGAGAAAGATAGAAGGATTTGTTAGAAGCGTACCTCTGCTTTGCCAATGGTAATTACTTTCACCTCAAGATCGTTGGCTCCAATCTGCAACTTCTTTAGTAAGCAAAAAGAAGTCCTAGAGGAATTCTTAGGTGTTATGACCAGATCATCAGAAACTGTAAACCTTGTTTCTCTCTTCACAAACCCGCCACTGCAAGGAGATTTTGGATCTATCAAAGTCACACGACTAAGAAAGTAATTATCCTTTTCATTGTTTGTAGTCAAACTGAACTCTTGTTGCCTAACATTGGAATTGCTAAAGCGATAGTAAACCCGTGGTTCTTGAGTGGTGATCATGGGAAACTGCTTTCGGCATCTATAATAACAAGGCAACGTGCAACTGAAAGAAGACACTCTTGTCTTTTTAATAACACTCAAGTCACTTAAGCTTCTGTGCAAGTTTCCAATGCACCCTAAAGTGATATTGTTTCCAGTGAAGTCCCATATAGATTCCAGCGGAACAGCAAGGAAAGTGAAAAGAAGATCAACAAAGTCTTCACAGCATTCAACATATAAAACCTTCATGTCTTCCTTCTTTACTATCACATCCAAAGTTAAGAGTTCTGCTTCATCTTTTTCCTTCACGCGTGGACTCAGCAGCTTGGATATCTGTGACACATCTTGGAGACGTTGCTTCTTCAAAAAAGTATCAGTCAAGGGAGTATTTGAGGAGAATATACACTCCAGTAGAGTCAGAACCTATATAATGAGTTTGAGTGCACAACAAAAATGTGAGAAGGCATGTATAAATTATATGCTAGAAAATGGCGTATAACATTAAAGTTATGAAGGTGAAGATACCTCTCCTAGACCGATATCAAGAAGGCGTTCCCCAAGCTTACTAACATCAGCATAGCCTAGAGAACCCAGCGTTTTCAAGACAAGACCAGTAGAATCAACAGACACTTTCAAGTCGTCGGTGATTATGAATGAATACCTGCCTCTGATAAATACTCCATCAACATCATTTTTCATGTTGTCTGCAACTTTATCAGCTTCTGGTAGTTGAATCTCCTTGTCCATCAAACGGCCGCATTTACACTTGGAAGAGCTAAAATTACTGCACATGTTGCAGGAAGCAAAATTCGGACATGTATAGAACTTGTTGACACCAACGGTAGGATTTATGTTGATCTTAAACCTTTTCCACAGTTCATCCTTCAAGCCCCTAGGATAAAGCAGCATCTCCTTACATGCTGCAGTCTCAAAGTTATCCATGTCCATGTCCACCACACTTTTGTAGAGGTTGCTAAAACAACCAACAGTAACTGTCTCAGACTTTCGATGATTCTCAAGCAATCTGACAATAGTGCCAATGGGCAGCATCAGAAAGCTGAAGAGTACATCAACAAAATCATTACCAGCCTCAGCCAAAACAACTTTGTTTTTCTCTTCATCAACGATAAGCCTCAAACTAACCTTTGGTTCCTTAAAACTCTGAGCCATTGAAGTTAGAGAAACGATCGAAAAAGAAAAACAAGACAGAAGAAAATATTTCAAAGACACTCTTAAACCGAAGCAACACTTTAGAAACTCAAAGATCCACACACATATATATTCAACCCCGGAGTATCCACATTTAAGAGGGTGTAAGTTATAATAATAACTTGTTATCAATACCCAAGAGCCATAAACGTAGTAAGAAAGAAAAAAAAACCTTTTGAGCTTCCCCATGACTGCACAACTAAAAATTTGAAATCATATACCAACCACAATAAGTTATTTCTGTAGATTGCACTTAAATTCACTGACTTTACACTATTTTTCAAGAGGGCTTCAATTCTAACATTGAACTCATCAAGAGCCATTAAAAATAAGACTCTGTTTCAAATTCAATTACTTTTGCCTTCCCAAAACCTTTTTTGGGAATTAGTGATTCAATAGAAATAAATATCTATTCTCGGAGCATTCCCATGAATACAGATTAACTAAAACGTAATGAATTTTTTTTAAAAAAAAAAACACAGAGAAAAAATGTATCTACAGTTTAGTTACATTGACCGGAGAAGATGAAGAAAAATTGTCATTTAAAAGAAATTTCGAAGGAAAACATTGAAATCTGATGAAGGAAGGAAAAATCAGAGACTCCATGGTAAACTCAAGAGAGAGGGTTTCATCACTGTGTTGATCGACCAAAAGCGGACAAGAAGAAATATTTTTGTTTCAATCTGCGGTAAAAGAAAAAGTGGGCTTTTTAGAATGACAACAAGCCCAAGATTATACATCCCCGAGCGCTCTCTGATTGTTTACAAAACAACACCGCAGTTTTTGAAAGTTTCAAATTAACCCACGTAAACAAACAACGAAAGTAATACGAATATCTTTAAACGAATGAATAATGATAAGAAAAATAAAAACATCTGCAATTCTCTAGAAATTGAGAAAAGATAGCAATGGAAATCCACTAAGACAATTTTAATGGAAGTTATGTAATCTGATACTAAAGCACTTTTGTCTAAAGATGGACAATGTGGATTGAATCTAACAGAATCTCTGTTTCTTCAAGTCTCTTCCTTGATCTTCTTCGCAATCAAGTTCCATAAAGCAGAGTTCAAAGCAGAGGATGTCAACAAGGAAGTTCTCATCAGACTCATTGCCTAATTTAGAGACAAAGTTAGTCAAGAAAGCAAGGGAGAGCAAGTGAAATTGTATTACTTGAGATTTGAGAAAGAAAAATGTAACATCGGCTTTACGGATTCTAATTGCTTGCACCTCCAGATCGTCTGCCTGAATCTGTAACTTGTTCAGTACGAATATAGAAATGCTTACGAAACTCGTAGCTCTGATTAAAAGATCATCTGTAACTGTAAACCTTGTTCCTCTCTTGATAAACCCACTACCATTCTCTGACTGATCTTTACCACGACATTTTGGATCAATCAAAGTCACAGGAACTAGTCTGTCTTTTCGATAGAGCAGAGACCGATCCGGATCTGTAGTCAAACTGTAGTCAGGTTGGCTCGGATTGGAATTCCTGTAACGGTAGTAAAACGGTGGTTCTTCGGTTGTGATATCAGACAACTGCTTTTGACATTTATAGTAATAGGGAAGCACACATCTGGTAGATGTATCAACATTCAGGTCTTTGAAGCTTCTGCGCAAATTTCCAATGCACCCTAAATTGATATCACATAAATATTCCAGAGGGACGACCAGAAAAGTGAAGAGAAGATCAACAAAGTCTTCTCCACATTCAACATATAGAATCTTCATGTCCTGCTTCCTTACTACTGCATCCAAAGTAAATTCTGATTCTGGTTCATCTGTTTTTACCTTCACACATGGACTCAAAAGCTTTGGTATGTTTTTCACATCGTGTGGACTTTTTTTCTTCAAGAAAGTGTCTGTCAAGGGAGAATCTGAAGATAACATATACTCCAGAAGAGTAACAATCTATTCAACAAACCAATAAAAAAAAGTCAGTACAATAGAAGTTAGAGAATGTTTTTTAAAGTATAACACAATACCATAGTAGAAGTTAATAACAAAGGAACATACCTCTTCGAGACCAATGTCAAGAAACTTTTCCCCAAGCTTACTAACATCAGAACAGTTTAGACGACAAAGAGTTTTCAAGACAAGACCAGTAGAACCAACATACACGTTCAAGTCATCGGTGATGATGAATGAAGACCTGCCTTTGACAAATACTCCATCAACATCATTTTGTACTTGATCTTCTTCTGATAAGTCAATTTCTTGGTCCATCAACTCTCCACATACACACTCAGAGCCGCTAAAGTTACTGCACAAGTTACAGGCTGCGAACGAACGACATTTAAAAAACTTGAGACCATCAGTAGGGTTTATGTTGAGCATAAGCCTTTTGCACTGGACTTCCTTCACACTCCTTGGATTAAGCAATATCTGCTGACAAGCTTCAGTCTCGAAATAGTCAACACCCACGTCCGCAACGCTTTTATAGATGTTGCTAAAACAACCAAACTCAGATTTTCGATGCTTCTCAAGCAATCTGACAATAGTGCCCATTGGCAGTGTCAAAAGGCTGAAGAGAACATCGACAAAATCTCTACCAGCTTCAGCCAAAACAACTTTTTCCTTCTCTTCATCAATTATAAGTCTCAAAGCAAACTTCGGTTCCTCTGAACTTTCAGCCATCATAGATAACATTACAACAAAAATTAAAGAGAAAAGCAAAACTAGAATCCAAGAAACTCAAGGATCTGCTACACTCATATATTGAATCCCAAAGGCTCCATCTTTAAGAGGAATAATAACTTTTCATCAATACCAAAGAGCCATAACGTAATAAAACAAACCCTTTGAGCATCTCCTCGATGAACCAAATTTCAAGAGTGATTAAAGTCTACACATTGAATGAGGCATCAACAACACCCAATCAGCAAAAATCGTATAAAGACTAGTATCTGTTTTTGAATCTCTAATTCCCAAAAGTCTAACACTTTCCAAGACTTTTGGGAATTAGAGATTCAACAAATCAAAACGAATCCTTCGAGCATCTCCATGAATTTGACTACAGTAAATTGTAGTGAATTTCTACAAGAATCTGCTCCAGATGTTGGAAGACAAATCAGAGTTTGAAATAAGAAAGCTGGGAGGGATTGAACCTGATTTGTCCCCTTCTACAAGAGTCGCATCCAACTCCAGAAATAGTTACTTGCTCACATTTCTCCAAAGTCAAGAGGCCTCGAAGAACCGGCGAGAAGATGCAAACAATTTCGGTTCGGTTTACAAGCTTTTGAAATTATAATTGATTTCGGTTCGGTTTATATTGGTTTAGAGAAGACAACAAAAAGCAAAAGAGTCACTTCATTCACCACTGTGGTTTTAAAAGGGATTGCTCACAAACTTATGATCTTCTATTTCTGGCATTAGAGCTTTAGATTGATGATGCTGCCACATTAAATATATTTGAAATTGGGTTTCATTGAGCTAACGAAGATCACATTAGAGGAAATCATGATTGCTTGTGTTTAAGATTGAAGAAATGTTTGTTCATCAAGTTTTCATTGGGCAGATCAAAGAACAACTGGATGCAGAGTCGGTTTCATCTAATATTATCTACTATACATTTCATCTTTTTTTGGTCTTCAGGTGGTCTTGAAACCAACAAAGTCAATTCCCACTGTTGGACATGGGCTTTGCCCCCTATATGTTAGGGGGCCCAAAACAGATGACACAAGTTTATAAGGGGGCCTTGATCACTATAAAGAGCCCATTAAGCCCGGAAGGGCAAAACCGTCATTTACAGTGGAGACAGAAGGAATTTTAGGGTTCCTGTTCCCTATAAATAGCCAGAAGCATTATTGGGAACAGGATCCGATCCAGAGGTTATTAACTAGCAGACAAGAAGAATCGCTGCCTAGCCCGAAATCGTTGCCTAGCCCGATATCGTCGCCTAGCCCGAATTTCGCCGCTTTGCTCGTTTTCGTATTCTGTCTTTCTGTTTCGTACGTTAAGTGTTCGGCTCGGCGGATAGTCTATAACCGCCGCGGCGAAACTTACATTCTGTAATCTCTTGATCGCTTATATCGTTAATAAAAGGACTAGCTCCGTTCACCCCCCAAAATCTCGTATATTATTATTGTTGCAACCTAGGTACAAACAATTGGCGCCCACCGTGGGGCTAGTTCGAAGCTATCCTTTTTTGACGAGACAATGAACACCGAGTCTCAAACGATCCGCGACGACATGACGGACACCTCAAGCGACCGAAGAACTGACACTGGCGCGCCAACAGCGCCCGACGCGCCGGGACTACCTCCGCTGAACCCAGTAGCTGCCCGCGCCGAGCTAGATCCCTCGCGCCGCCTCTTGTTCACACCTAACATAAGGATGGAGTATGCTGCTAACGCCGTCCCGGCTCCTGGCGCACCCACCGCACTCGCCGTAGCAGCCGCAGCTGGAGCAGCCGCCGCAGCAGGAGCAACCGAAGGCACCGCACCAGGACGTGCCCGAGCCGTACACCAAGGCACCCACATGGACGATCTCGTTCAGACCATTCTGGATAGGCTCGACAACCAAGACGCGCGGACCACAGAACGGATCGACGCCCTCGTAGCCGCACAAGTCGCTTCCCAGAGCCAGATCGAACGACTACGACGTCGAAGACGTACGTCCCAACCCCACGATAACCAGGAAGAGTTGCAGTCTCCACGAACCCCAGTAGCCGAACGCATAGAGATTCGACGACGCGGCCCAGCATCTATCATCGTCGGATCCATCGACGAACATCCCCGCCAGAATCTGCCGCACGGCGAAAACATGCAGAGCGCCCAGAATCTGCCGCACGGCGAAAACATGCAGCGCGCCCAGAATCTGCCGCACGGCGAAAACATGCAGCGCGCCCAGAATCTGCCGCACGGCGAAAACATGCAGCGCGCCCAGAATCTGCCGCACGGCCAAAACATGCAGAGCGTCCAGAATTTGCCGCACGGCCACATCATGCAGAGCGCCCAGAATCTGCCGCACGGCGAAAACATGCAGCGCGCCCAGAATCTGCCGCACGGCCACATCATGCAGAGCGCCCAGAATTTGCCGCACGGCCACATCATGCAGAGCGCCCAGAATTTGCCGCACGGCCACATCGTGCAAAGCGCCCAGAGCATGCAATACGGCCACAACTTGCCGAGCGCCCACCAATTGCAGCACGGTCACCATCTACAGAGCGGCCATAATCTTTCAACCTGGCATAATCTACGGAGCGGGCACAACCTACTCAGCAACCGAACTCTGGACACCGGACGACTCTTGCATGGCCGTCACATTGACGACGAAAACCGTTCTCGCGATCAGGAGCTTACACGGTTGAACGCCTTAATAAGAGACATGTCCTCTAAAATGCATCGGGCCACCACTGCGGCGCCAGAACTAGAAAAGGTTTTGGAAGAAACACAACGCTCGCCCTTCACAGAGCGCCTCTCGGCCATCCGTGTTCTTCACATTAACAAAGTCAAATTGGTCCCATACAACGGCCTCACCGACCCAAAAATCTTCCTTAAGTCGATGTGCATCGCCATTAATCGTGCGCATTTCTCCGCCGAAGAAAATGACGCAGGGAGCTGCCAAATATTCGTGGAAAACCTGACAGGGGACGCACTAAATTGGTTCTCACGAATCAAAGCTAACTCGATCGATAGCTATCGAGAGCTCACGACCGTGTTCCTGCAGCACCACTCAGTTTTCATGATCAAAGAAGTTACAAACGCCGACCTATGGACAATGTATCAGAAAGAAAGCGAACCACTTAGAACGTTTATTGAGAGATTCAAGAAAATCGTGTCAAACATAGCTATAACCGATGATGCGGCTATCGGCGCCCTTCGGAACGCGTTGTTGTTCGGATCGCGGTTTCGAGAAGATCTTATCATCGCTCAGCCATCAACTTTAGACGACGCCTTGCACCGAGCCAACCGTTATGTCGAGATCGAAGAAGAGAATGCCGCGATGGTGGATCGCAACCCAAAAGCATCTAACTCAAGGGATAAAACCCGCTCATAGAACTCCGCCAACATGAAACGTTACTCTACAGGGCGCAGCAGCAAAAAAAAAAAAAAAAAAAAAAAAAAAAAAAAAAAAACCACTCGACGTATCGAGTTTTACCAGTATAATACGAACTACGAATGGCTTGATCCCTTTCCAAGGGTACGTAGGCAGTCTTTCACGGGACACAGCTATAAAAAAAAAAAAAATCAAAAAATTTTTTTCATCCAAAAACACAAGTGAGCGCTCGCAAGAGTACACTATCATTGATGAGCTCTTTCGGACGAGTCCGCCTCGCCGATCGCCTAGCTCCCATATCGTCGCCCTGGCCAGGCGCACGATTTTAAACGCGTTCCTCATGGATGCAGTGGCGAAATAATCCACAACTTTACTTTGTAAAGATTAAAAGCCGAGCCCAGTCTCGCACAACAGCTAGCAGGCGGCCGAACCAATAAGCCGAGCTCCGGCTTGCACGTTCTTGCCGACCTCAAAGCACCCACAGGATAAGCCGGACACCAGAGCCGCACCTAAAAAGTACGACGAGTCCGTCTCGACTACATCTTCCTAAGCTCGGCATTTCGAGACACATATAGGATAAGCCAAGAGACGTCTTGCCCCGCAAAATATGTATCGAAGCCGAGCTACGTATTACACTTGTTTTACGATAAACATATCCGAGTCATGCCTCGCACAAAATACAGATCGATAACGAGAACAAAGCAATAATGAAATCACAACAATCATCAAGTTATGAAGGTTAAAGAAAACAACCATAGTTCATGACAACAGAGGGCCAAACATACAAAATGCCGATCCAACAAGCTACTAAAAGCTAAAAGGCCGGACAAAGTCAATAACCCCAAAAGAAAGAAAAGCAAAACACAAGCGTTCGAGACGACATGACTTTCAACTTTCTTCGCTCCGCAACAGTAAACCGTCTCACTTGACCTTAAGTTGACGGCATGACTTTCGACTCTCTTCGCTCCGCCTTGGCAACAAACGAACAACTGGGCTACAGCTCCGAGGCTCCGCACGACAAAACACTCATAACGTCAAAACAAATCAGTAGAACTTCCCACGACTAACGAACAATACACCACCAACGGGAACAAACACGCCATACTTCTCCCCACGGCAAAACGGCATCGGCAAAGACCAAACCAAGCGACTCGGCGACAAATCCTTGGCGTGGTAACAAGCGACGGCGCGACAATCCCTTCGGTGCAAAACTATGACAAATGTGCGGCTACTCCCAGTTCAGCCATCTCAGCGCATCAACCTTCGTCACGACTTGGCACAAAAACCAACCCAGCATCTCGACACGGCTCTTCGATTTTGTCCCGTCTCGGTAGCATTGCGCCGCAACTCCATCTCTGGCACGACTCCAAGATGGCATGGCTACAAGCTCGGCACGACTCTCGGCTTGCCGCGACTCCATCTCTGGCACGACTCCAAGATGGCATGGCTACAAGCTCAGCACGACTCTCGGCTTGCCGCGACTCCATCTCTGGCACGACTCCAAGATGGCATGGCTACAAGCTCGGCACGACTCTCGGTTTGGCATGGCCCCAAGCTCAACACGACTCTCGATTCAGCACGACTCCCGGTTCGTCACAACTTCTGGTTTGGCGTGACTTTTGGTTCTGCGCGACTTCTGGCTAAGCACAACGACTCCATCTCACCGCGATAACACTATCTTCAGCATAGCTCGACATC